GGGGCTCCACACACACACGGGGGGTTGTGGGTGCAGAAATGGGGCTGTGGGTGCAGGATGGGGCTGTGGGTGCAGAAATGGGGCTGTGGGTGCAGAAATGGGGCTGTGGGTGCAGGACTGGGGTGTGGGTGCAGGATGGGGCTGTGGGTGCAGGATGGGGCTGTGGGTGCACACTGGGTGGTTGTGGGTGCAGAAATGGGGGCTGTGGGTGCAGAATGGGGCTGTGGGTGCAGGATGGGGCTGTGGGTGCAGGATGGAGGGCTGTGGGTGCAAGATATAGGGCTGTCAGTGCAGGATGGGGCTGTGGGTGCAGGACAGGGGTCTGTAGATGCAGAGCTGGGGTCTGTAGGTACACGATGGGGGTCTGTATGTACAAGACAAGGGTCTGTAGGCACAGAGCCGGGGTCCATAGGTACAGCACAGGGGTCTGTAGGTGCAGAGCCAGGATCTATAGGTGCAGGATGGGGTCTGTAGGTGCAGCACAGGGGTCTGTAGGTTCAGGATGGGGGTCTGTATGTACAAGACAGGGGTCTGTAGGTGCAGAGCTGGGGTCTATAGGTGCAGGATGGGGTCTGTAGGCGCAGGATGGGGGGCTGTACATGTAGCACAGGGGCCTGTAGGTGCAGCACAGGGGTCTGTAGGTGCAGCACAGGGGTCTGTAGGTGCAGAGCTGGGGTCTATAGGTGCAGAGCCAGGCTCTGTAGGTACACCATGGGGGTCTGTATATACAAGACAAGGGTCTGTATGTGCAGAGCCAGGCTCTGTAGGTGCAGCACAGGGGTCTGTAGGCGCAGAGCTGGGGTCTGTATGTGCAGAACTGGGCTCTATAGGTGCAGGATGGGCTCTATAGGTGCAGCACAGGGGTCTGTAGGTGCAGAGTCAGGCTCTGTAGGTGCAGGATGGGGTCTGTAGGCGCAGAGCCAGGGTCTGTATGTGCAGAATTGGGGTCTATAGGTGCAGGATGGGCTCTGTAGGTGCAGCACAGGGGTCTGTAGGTGCAGAGCCAGGATCTATAGGTGCAGGATGGGGTCTGTAGGCACAGAGCCGGGGTCTGTATGTGCAGAATTGGGGTCTGTATGTGCAGAATTGGGGTCTATAGGTGCAGCACAGGGGTCTGTAGGTGCAGAATTGGGGTCTGTAGGTGCAGCACAGGGGTCTGTAGGTGCAGAATTGGGGTCTATAGGTGCAGCACAGGGGTCTGTAGGTGCAGAACTGGGGTCTGTAGGTGCAGCACAGGGGTCTGTAGGTGCAGAATTGGGGTCTATAGGTGCAGCACAGGGGTCTGTAGGTGCAGAGCCAGGCTCTGTAGGTGCAGCACAGGGGTCTGTAGGTGCAGAATTGGGGTCTGTAGGTGCAGCACAGGGGTCTGTAGGTGCAGCACAGGGGTCTGTATGTGCAGAATTGGGGTCTGTAGGTGCAGCACAGGGGTCTGCAGGCGCAGAGCCAGGGTGGGCACCGCGGGCACGCTGCCACAGGCTGGCAGGAGCGCGGTGCCGCGCCGTCGGCTCCCATTTGCTCTGACACGGATCCATCCGTGTCGCGGCCGGCGTGCGACGCTCCGCCGCGTGTTGTGAAGCGATAACTCAGCCGCATTTGCAAAACAACTTTCCTCTTGTTTATTCCATAATGATCCATTGATTGTGGGTAATGTTGCGTGCCCTGTGCCGCAGCGGGCGCGCCGTGCTCCCCTGGCACGCGCGGGGGGCTCCGGCAGGCGCCGGCACGGCAACCTGAGAGCGCCCGTGCCTCCAAATCCTCCGGGCCAAGCTGTGGGGCTGGGTGCCCCACATCCCCCCCACACCCCAGCCTGTCTCTCCCCACCCCCTCGCTCCCAGGGAGGCTGCTTCGCTCTCATCCTCCCTGCTTGTGGCCAGGCCTGACATCATCCATAATGACAGTGCCAGGCCTCTGCTCCCGGGATGCCGGCGCTGCCGTGGCTTGCACAGGGGAGCACTCCTGGGAACACGGCTGGGAGCCCACGTGCGGGCCACGGGGATGGGTGCAGCACCAATCCCGTGGTCCTGGCATCACCCTGGTACTGCCCCTTCCGTGTCAAGGACAGACTGTGCCTGGGGAAACCAAGGCAGGGAGCACTGACGGGGGAGGGCTGGGCAGCCCCTGGTGGTTGAGCCTTGTGCTGGGCCTGCCAGGGTATAATGAGTCTCCTGGGGCACCATGCTGGATCCATTTGGTGGCATTGGGATGTGGCACCCAACTCTGCTGGCCAAGGGGCTCCCCTGTCCCATCTGCCACAGCCCCAGCCCTGGAGCAGGACCACCAGGTCACAGGGAAGGGGCTGGGAGTGAGGCCACGTGGACACAGCAAGACCCAGTGTCACCACCAGAGCGCTGGTGGAGGAGCAGGAGTGGAAAGACAAGACCATGTCCCCTGCTGGGGACAGTCTGAGACAAAAACTGAGGCCAGAAGTGCCCCATTACCTCCATTGGGACCCAACAGTAGGGCACAGCGTGGGTGCCCACCTGCAGCAGCACTGGGGGTGCCAGCAGTAGTGTGCACATGTTGCACACGGTCATGGCCACGCACCTGGGAGCAGGTGACAATGAGCTGGGATGGGTGCCCGTGATGGAGGGACAAAGGTGAAGCCGTTTCAGGCTGTAAACATCGCTGCTGCTCCGTGCGGGGCAGGTACGGTCGGCCAGAGGCCGCCGAACTCGTGACAGTGTTTGTGGTTTCTTGGCCGGGGACACCCAGGAGTGCCCCGGCCCCTGGCTGGGCTGACGTCACCCTGCCAGGCTGGGGGAGGAAGAGGAGCCGTCCAGTTTGTGGCCGGGAGCGAAGGCCGCCGTGACGCAGTGCCAGCTGCGTGCAGCCCGGCAGGTAGGCATGGCAGCTAGGCATGGCCTGGTGCCAGCCTGGAGGGGGCAGAGCCGCAGCCCCAGGGCTGTCCAGCCATGCCAGGACCTGGTGCCTTTGGCCACAGAGCCCTGACTGGGCAGGGGAGCTGCCCCGAGGTGAGGCAGAGCCTGGTGGCACACCTGGCACACATCCCCCTGTGCCTGGATCTGCTGCCCAGGCTGTGAAACCCCAAAGTACCCAAGGGGCACCCAAACCTCCCAACAATGGCCCCCCACTTGACTTGGGGCAGCTGGGCTTGGGATTTCCCTCTACCAGCACCCCAGAAGACTACTGGTGGGTCTGGGCTGTCCCCCTGTGCTCATCCCTAGGGCATGGGGCACACCTGAGCCAGGTGCCCACCGAGCCACGGGTGGTGCCATGCATACCCAAGAAGCGGTGCCAGGGTCGAGGCAAGTAGCAGGAGGGATCCTGCAGGCAGAGCTCTCTGTGCCAGGGCAGTGACTCCGGCTCTCACACCCCCGCAGGGCACTGGCCACCCAAGCTGTGCCAGTCTCGCTGTGCCACGTGCCACCAGCATGGCACCACACTGGCACGGGTGCTTTGGCCAGCCTTGGCAATCAGCGCCTGGCCGGACACGGCCCTTGGCAGTGGTGCTGCCTCACCTACGCCGTGCCCACCCTGCCCTGGGTGGGTAACGATGCCGCTCTGGTGGCACCTGGGGACCCCGGCAGGGATCCATGGCAGGGAGCTCAGCCCCATCCGGGCCAGGCCCGCCGGAGCGCGGGGGGGACGTGGCGAACCCGGCGCCTGCCGGGAGAGCTCCCAGGACCCGTCGGACGGGTTCGGCCGCTCTTCCCGCACCCGGACAAGCCCGGGCCGGCGGGACACCCAGCCACAGCCACCGCCCAGCAGCGCCTGTTGGGTGGGGGAGAGTGGCTGCGCTCTCTCTGCGGCTGGGAGGACTCCCCTTCCCCAGGAATCCAAAGGGGAGTGGGGCCCTCGCAGCCCCCCATCCCTGCGGGGAGAGTTGCTGCCCCTTTCTGGGGGCACTGAGCCCCCCAAAACCCTGCAGAGCGCAGGGTAAGGAACCCACGCGTGCCCCACTGTGTCTGTGGGGGTCTGGGCACCCCATCAACACCCCCTTTACATGCGATCCCACCCCAGGCACAATCCAACCCTCACATCCCCTTGGCTGGAGGTGCTGGGGGGGAGCAGAGGGCGCCCCCCCAGCCCGCAGGAGTTTGTGCCAGATCCCCCCGGAACAGGCAGGAGCCGGCATGCCCGGCACAGCCAGACGCGCCGCAGGGGCGATGCCGCAGCTCCCGTGGCGCTGCCAGCGCCCCGTGTCTGCTCGCTCCGTGCACCGAAGGATCTCCTGCTCCCAAAGGCCACCCCAGCACCCCCAGGGCTGCGCCCCACGGGCCCCCCGCGCTGCCCTTACCTTCCAGCGATCCTGCAGTCCGCGCCGCAGTGGAAGCACCGCGTCCCTGCCGGCGCTGGGGGGTCGGTGGGGAGCAGAACCAGATGTGGGAAGTGCCCTGCGTCCCCCTGCCAGCGGTACCGAGCCGGGTGTGCCTGGCAAGGCGGGTGGCACGGTGGAGATCAGCCCTGTCCTGAGCGCCTGTCCGAGCCGGAGCCCCCCTGGGACCCCTCCGAGGGGCTGGAAGTGCTGCACGCCACCGTGACAGGGATCCCTTTTTTTTATCCTTTTATTAATTTTTTTTTAATAGACTAAGAGCAGAATATGAAAATCACCAGCCAAAGCACTTGAAAAAAAGATCGAGAATGTTTTTTTTTTTTTTTCTGTTTCGTTTTGTTTTGTTTTTCCCCAAAAAGTGTCTGTGCGTTTGCATAGGTCGGGTCTTCACGGAAGACGAGGAAAATCCAACACGTTCGACTATGTACAAGCCAGCCCGGGGCCGGCGCCGCTGCCTATGGTACAGTATAGATATAATATCTCTGTAGTCGCTCTCTGTACAGTATGTATAGATCTATATGGGTATGTACAGACTGCCCGGCCCCGGGGGGGTCCCTGCTCTCATCGGGGCTCGGCGCTGCCCCCCAGGCACGGAGCAGCCCCGGGGGGAGGCTGCGGGCAGGACCCCGGGAGGAGCCGCAATCCTGCGGAGCTGCCGGTCCGGTGCTTGCCGTGATCCTGCCGCTCTCCGGGCAGGGCTGGCGCTCTCGCCGTGCTTCCGAGGCTCTCACGAGGGGCAGCAGACGGAGGGGGGCACAGCGGCGCTGGCCGGGCCCCCGCGGGCACCGGGAGCTACGAGGCCAAGAGCGTCATGAGGAAGAGCGCGGCGGCCACGGCCAGGGGCAAATGTTCCCGCTTGGGGCTGGTGCCGCTGATGCTCTTCTCCAGCTTGGGCATCTCCGGGTTGAAGTTTTCTGCGGGGGCGAGGGGAAGGAGAGGATGAGGAGGGCAGCAGGGCGGCTCTGAACCCCCACCCCGTGGCTGGGGCTGCCCCAGGGGCGGCGGCAGGAGAGGGGGGGACACGGCTTTGGGGGTCGGGGGGCTGTGCCTGACTCACCCAGGTCCTCGATCTTCACCTCGGGCCGCAGGGTGAACTGGGGCAGGGTGGGCGCCAGCTTCTCCCCGGAGTGCGAGGCTGCGGAGGGAGAGAGGGGACGGGGGTCACTGCCCTGCACTGGAGCTCCCCACATGCGCCCACCCCTCAGGAGGGACGGGGGCACCCACGGGCCAGCCTCGCCGCCCCCGGGACGGGCACGGGGGTACTTACTGGAGGCGCAGCAGACAAACACCTTCATCTTCAGGCAGGCCCGGCGGTGGTTGTGCGTCGGCGTGGCTGCAAGGAGAGAACGTGCTGAGAGGGGCTCCGTGGCAGGGACCCCAACCCCGGCACCCCGGGGCTGGCTGGGTGTGGACAGAGAGGGGGCTGGAACTGCCCAGGGGTGGGATCCGGGCTGGGGGAATGCAGCAGCACCCCAAATCCTGCACCAGCACCCCAAATCCTGCACCGATGCCCTGCACCAGCACCCCAAATCCTGCACCAATGGCACAAAAAATCCGGCACCAATGTCCTGTACCAGCACCCCAAATCCTGCACTGATGGCACCCCAAATTCTGCACTGATGGCACACAAAATCCTGCACCGATGCCCTGCACCAGCACCCCAAATCCTGTACCAGCACCCCAAATCCTGCACTGATGCCCTGCACCAGCACTCCAGGCCTGAATAATCAGCTCTAGCATCCCAATCCAGCACCAGTGCCAGGCACCAATGCTGCAATCCTGCAGCAGCAGCCCCTGAACCCCGATCCTGCAGCAGCATCCTGCATCCTCCATCATCATCCTCCAGCACCCCATCATGCCCTGGCACCCCCATCCACACCCCCACACTCCCATCTGTTCCCTGCATCATGGAAACCCCCCCTCCCCCTGTCCCTTTGCTCCTTCAACCCCCCCAGAGCTCCAGGTTCAAATTCTTAGGGGGGAAACAGCTGCTCAGTTTTGGGGGTGCAGGGGAATCGGCCAAGGGGGACACAGAGGGACCCAGCTGGGGTGGGACTGAAGGGACCCAACTGGGGTGGGACCTGGGGTTTGGGGGCTGTGTGGGGGTCCTGCCCTGGTGCCCCACATACACATGTAGTACTCCTCACATATGTAGTAGCACTCACACATGTAGTAACTCACACATGTAGTAACACACACGTAGCAGCACTCACACACGTAGTAACTCACATGTAGCAGCACTCACACATGTAGCACTCCTCACACACAAAGTAGCGCTCACACATGTAGTAGCACTACACGCGTAGCAGCACTCACACACATAGTAGTACTCACGTGTAGCAGCACATACAAGTGTAGTAACTCACACACATAGTAACACTCACACATGCAGCAGCACTCACACGTGTAGTAACACACACGTAGTAGCACTCACACTTATTCATACATGTAGTAGCACTCACATGTAGTAACACACACGTAGTAGCACTCACACATGTAGCAGCACTCACACAGGTAGTAACTCACATACGTAGTATCACTCACATATGTAGTAATACTCACACAGGTAGCAGTACTCACACATGTAGTAGAAGTCACATATGTAGTACTCCTCACACATGTAGCAGCACACACACATAGTAACACTCACACGTAGTAACTCACACACATATTAACACTCACATATGTAGTAGCACTCACACATATAGCAGCACTCACATAGCAGCACTCACACCTGTAGTAACTCACATATGTAGTAACTCACACACATACTAACACTCACATATGTAGTAGCACTCACACATATAGCAGCACTCACATGTAGCAGCACTCACACATGTAGCAACACACACGTAGCAGCACTCACACCTGTAGTAACTCACATATGTAGTAACTCACACACATACTAACACTCACACACGTAGCAGCACTCACACCTGTAGTAACTCACATATGTAGTAGTACTCCTGGCCCGCACGGAACTCGTAGCCCAGCGAGAAGGCGCTGTAGCGCTGGAACTTCTCCGAGAACTTGATGGGGCTGTGCGGTGCGTGGGGCCGGTTGCACTCCCAGCGCTTGAAGCCCTGGCTGGTGTTGCAGGTGCGGTAGCCCTCCGCGTTCACCATGTAGAGCACGTACTGCTCCAGCCGGTGCTCGGGCACCGAGGCGTTGTAGTGAGGGCAGTAGATGTCCAGGTAGTCGTTGACGTTCACCTGCACCGTGTAGCCCTCCCGTCGCAGGCTGCAAGGGAGAGAAGGGCGGGAGGTCAGCGTTGGGGAGGCCCTGCACCTTCCCAGGCAGGGTTCTCTCTCTGATGAGGTTGCAGCGAGCTCTGGGAGCAGTGGTGAACCCTGTTCAAGCTCTGTGTGAAGCCCATGACGCAGCCTGAGCCGCACAATGGAGCAGAATCCCCGTCCTGGAGGGCGCGGGACAAGTGTCAAGCCACACGTACAGGTGGGATGGGCACACAAGAACAACCTCAAAGAGGAGACAACGCACAGACGCGCCCAGAAGGGCATCAGGGTCCCTCAGGCATCACGTTCTCCACGGGACAGCCCATGGGCGTGAGGAAGACCCCGGAATTCCTCGGAATTCCCCGGCATTCCCCATTTCCAGCAGCCTGGAGCCGACCCACCGCTGCCGCCCACCAGGGCCCTGGCACGCGTCGCAGCTCGGAGCCGGGATTTCTCACCCCGCTCCGGCTAATCCCGTTAGTTCCTTAATGCCGTAAAGGGTGGCCCTGGGGGAGCCTCATTTACATTGATTAGGAGCAGCAATCCCCTCAGATCCACTCAGGAGAGGCTCCGCTGGCTCCTAATCCGCGCCCGGCGGAAATCCCGGCCGCGGTAATCCTCGCCGCCGCGCTGACCCCGCTGCTCCTGCCAATTAATTACCACCGGAGCGGGCTCGGCACCGGACCCTGAACGGACCCGCATCCCGCAGGACACGGGCAGCAGCAGCATCCCGGCACGCGTGGCCGTGGAGATCTCCAGTGGAGCTCCACTCCCGGCCGTTTCCCCATTTCTCAGGGCAAACCCCACACCGTGCGCCCCCAAAGCATCACTCGGGGTTCGCTCGGCCGGGGGTGTGGGGGGTTCGCCGCTCCTCCAGGAGCGCAGCGTTTCCCCGGGTCTCTCTCCCCGGCAGGGCTGGGCAGGCAGCGGGCAGGGCTACGCGTGCAGACGCCCCACCCTGCACCATCGCCCCCGGCGCTGTTTGAGGAGCCCCGGCGCTCCGCCAGCGCCCGCGGCACCGGAGCCGAGCTCCGAGACCGACACAGAACCGGTGTCGGGAGGCAAAACGCGGGAGGGACAAGAAGCGCTGCCTCCGGTACCGGGGGGGCAACAAGGAGGGGGGAAAAAGCTGATGGCAGAACTCATCACTCGTGGGACGGGGAGCGCAGCCCCACGCCGCCCCTCCCTCGCTGCGCAGCCGCTACTCCGCAGCCCATCCCGGCAGCCGCCGGCAAGTGCTCCGCCGGGAAGGTGCTGAGGCAGCCACCCTTGCTGAGCGGGAGCCGGGACCTTTCATCTTCCCCCTTTGATGTGGTGGGAAGGGGGAGGCGGGGGGGGAAGGGGGGGGGAGAAAAAGGCTTGTTATTAAAGAAATGGCCCCAAGGAGAAAATCGCAATTAACTCCACGCGGGACGCAGAGCTGGGACGCCGGTGTACCCCAAGAGCAGCTGCTCCACACCGGGGTGAGCACCCGCAGCTGGGGCTCCCCACAGCTGCGCTATGGGACACAGGGATTAGGAGAAGTGTCACAGGTGAAGCTGTGTCATGGGGTGCTGGGGAGAGGTAACCCCCCGTTCTCCTGGGGCACCCAGTGCTGAGGAACAGCCCCCTGGGAGCCCAGGATGGGGCTCGTTAAGGCCCAGCTCATTAAGAAGTGTGGCTGCTGATAAACAGCCCCACTAACGAGGCACCGAAGTGTCCCCTGGGCTGGGGGACAGCAGCACCCATGGCAGGGTGCAGGAGCCACAGATGGCGTGGCAAGGGACCCACGGGAGTGACTCCCACGGGCATCACCAAAAGCTGGGAGGGGCTGAGGAATGGCCCCATACGGGGAGAGCCACAGGGCCATCACAGCCTGAGGCACATCCAGGTGACCCCAGCAGCGGCTTTGGTCACAACACTGTGTCCCTGCCGCGCTTGGCTCCTCCTGCACAGTCACTGCAGAGCAGCAACTCTAGATACCCCCAAATCCCTCAGTGCGACGGCCCAAGTGCTCCAAGATCTGCTGACAGCACCATCCAGAGAGCCCGTGGGCCTTGGTTTGGGGTGGAAGGGCAGGAAGAGATACTCTGAGAGAGGGACTCTACCTCTTTTCTCACCAGCACCCATCCCAGAGCAGGCACGGGCTGCCTGGTCCCTGCCAGCTCCATGGTGGGAAGCACCATCCCCAGCTCTGGGATGGACCCTCCAAATCTCAAACTCTGGCAGCCACGGCACGGCCGGTGGGGGTGGTGGGCTCTGGCAGTGCCCGAAGGGTTAAGTGCGGGAGGAGAACGGGCAGCATCACTTCTGCACGACTGCGTTTGTAGAGCAGGGCTTGGCGAGGCGGTGGTACCTTCCAGCAGCCTGTCATGCTGGGCAGATGGATGTCCCCTGGCAGCACCGGCCCCGGGCTCGGTGCCCACCGGCCCCGCACCGGAGGGATGCTGGTGATACCCTTGATGGCACCCTGGTGGCACCTTGGCTACCTGGCACGCCGCAGGCACCGGTGAGCCGGGCGGGCGCTCCGCTCCGCTCCCATCTGCTGCCATAAATCCGGGCTGCGTGCCGCACGCTGGCTCCCACACCGCCGGGGAGCGCCTGGTGCACTGCAGCACGCCCTGGCAGCGGTGGCACGGCGGGACCGGACCCTCATGGGGACCCTCACCCTACAGGGACTCATCCCCATGGTGCTGGAGAGGCCTGGAGGGCAGCAGGGCCGGAGCGGGGCTCAGCACCCCGCAGTGGTGGTGCCAGCGGTGAGGAGCAGGGCAGCGTGGTGTGTCCTCCGTGTGGTGCCCCCCAGCACTGGACAGCCCCCAGCACAGCCAAGCTCTTTGTTCGGCTCCAGTAGCTTCGTCCTTTTGGCGCATCCGGGGCCCATCCATCACCCGGGGAACAAAAAAGTGCCATTGATTTACGAGTCCCCTTCCCGTCACCCCGCAGCACAGCGAGAGGCAAAGGCGCATCGACCGCTGCGGCCGGACAGAGGGACGGACAGACAGACAGACAGACAGCCAGACCACCCGCCCGTCCATCCTCCCGCACGCAGCGCGGGGGAGACGGGGGGCTCAGCGCAGCCCTCCCCACGCAGGCAGCGCTGCACAGTCACGGCGCCCAGACGGCCACGCACACGCGCGCTGGCTCGGCAGACAGCGCCTGCGACGCTGCCCACGCACACGGGTGGCACCGAGCCACGGCACAGCCCCCCCGGCCTCGCCTGGCGCAGCCGCAAGGCGCGGGCGCTACCGGCACACGGTGTCCCCGGTGGGCACCTCCCTGCGAGGGATGATCCGCACGTGGAGGGAGCGGCGAGCGCCCGGCGGGACAGGGAGAGCGGTCCCCGAGCTCGCCGGGACTCCAGGAGCACCCTACAGGTGCCCCCCGTCGCTATCGACGGCCGTACAATCCCTGTAAATCCCGGCTAAAGCCGGCACCTTCCCGTGTTGCTAACAAGATCAATGAGGTTTCTAATTGGGTTTTAATTAAACCATCAATCTGCAACCGGTGACTCAATTACCAGCCCGGGCAGGCGCAGGTGGCCCCGGCCCTGTTGCACCCCGACACCGCGGCCGCTTCTCCCACGGGAACGCCGCCGGTGCTGCCGGGGCTCGGTGCCGCCCCGGCGCCGTGACTCACGGGGCACGGCACGCTCTGCCCATGGTCACCGCTCCTGCCGAGGGCGGCTGCGTGCTTGGGCTTTCTGTGTGCCCAGCCTGCAGGGCAGAGGATGAGGTGGGGGCTGGCCGAGCCCCCCAGCCAGCCTTGAGGGGTGTTTTTGGCACTGTCCCTACATTCAGCTCCACAGGTGGGCATGGAACTGCCTCTGCTTGGGCACAGAACTGCCCCTGCTTGGGCACAGAACTGCCCCTGGCTTGGCACAGCTGCCCAGCACCTCCTGCTGGATGCCCCCAGCCCCGCGGGTCCCTCCTGCTGTGGGTGACTCCTCCTCAGCCCTGCTGGTGCCCGTGGATGGGGTGGGGGGACCTGGCCAGGCCCTGCCCTGGTGTTGGGGTTTGGCTGCTGCAGAGGAGCCTGGGCCCCTCCAGACGTGCTCTGCAGGGATGTGGCTCCTCTCCTGAGTGAGATCCTCCCCAGCTCGGCACTGAGGCTTTCCAGAGCTCACTCCAGCCCTCTCCAGGGCCCACTCCAAGCCTCTCCAGAGCGCACTCCAGCCCTGCTGCCTGCAACACAGCCTGGGCCAGATAAAAGACACCCTGAAGAGGCGAGCGTGGCGGCAGAGCCAGCGCTGGGGGGAGCTGCACGAGCTGTGTGCCTGCACAAAGTGCCACAACCTCCCTGCACACAGGTGGGCCCTGACCCCCACACCACAGCCAGGCACCCTGTGCACCCCTGTGTCACCACATCCCCTGCTCTGCCCCCTCCATGGCACCTAGTGCCCTCAGTACGAGCACCAAAATCAGTCAGTGGCACAGTGTGGTACACCCCAACCTGCTCTGGGGTGATTCTTGGAGTGCAGCAGTGTCAGGAGCACTGGCCATGTGCGTCCATGAATTGCTGTCCCCGTCTTGGCATCAGGGACAGAGCCTCCAGCATGCCAGGGCCCAGCTTGTCTGGGGACACTCCAGGAACCCCGGGCCCTGCTCAATGGGTCACCCCAGGGTCACAGGCCCCACAAAAGCTGCTGCTGGGTGGACACGGCTGTCCTGCACCTTTGTCCCATGCCACCAGGCCTGTTCCTGGCGGGACTGGGGAGTGGAGGGCAGGGATGAGTCAAGGGTCATCCCACACCCCCAGGGCCTGCTGGCTGCCATCAGGGATGGAATGCACAGCTGGACCAACAACCAGGCCGAGCAGGAGCAGGATTTGAGGATCCCAGCTCCAAACCAGCCCTGGGCTTTGCCAACACACCCCAAACCCATGGCATGAGGGGTGCTCTGCCTGCTTGGGGACCCTTCCTGGCCTCCTGGCACCCCCAACCATTCCTTGCGTGGCCAAAAGGGCTGAGATGCCACCAACCCCCTGCTTCCAAGGCACCATAGGGCTGCTCCCTGCACTGCCCCTCATCCTGTCATCCCGCTGAGGGCACCAACAGGGGTACCCAGGGTAGCATGGCAGGAGCCACAATAAATTTGTGCCCAAGGAGTGGCCACAGCCAGCAACCCCCTCCTCCCCGGAGAGCCCCGCAGGGCCGTGCTGGGCTTGTTTATGGCTCCACTTGCAGCAGGGTTGCTGGGATTTGCAGGCTGCGGCCCAGGGAGCCTAATTCCCCCCATAATTTATCTAATCCAGACACTTTGCCGTGCGGCTATAATTGCGTCCGAGCTGCCGCACTGCCTAACAATAAATATCAGCTCGGGAGTCCCTGGGACACGGCTCTGCCGCAGCCGCCCCCACCGCGCCGCCCATGCCCTGAGCCGGACGCCGGCGGCCGCGCCAGACACGCCTGCGCAGGGGGTGCGGGCATCTGGCTGCGACACCCCCGCCTTGGCACGGCCTGGGCACTGCCAGCCCCTCCGCCCCGTCCCCCGAGAGGTGCCAGGGCAGCGGCAGGTCATGGTGGTGATGGGCATGGGGGAGTCACGGAGAGATAAGGGTGAGGGTGGCACGGCTGCCAGTGTTGTGGGGGTGTCATGGTGTGGGGATGAGGTTGGGGGTGCAGGGGGTCTGGGCAGAGCAGGGGGGTGCGGGGGGATGGATGCTGAGCGTGGAGGCACCTCGGCATTGTGCTGCGCCTCGGCACGTCGCACACACGCACGATTTATGGGGCCCGAGCTTCCGCCTGGCGACACAATCTCAATGGCAGGGGAGGGGGCTGCCGGGGCTGCTCCCACCCTGCACAAAGGGCTGTGGCGTGGGGGGAGAGCCCGGGAGAGCCCCTGCACCGACGGGCGCCAGAGGATGCTCTGGCTGGATGCGTGTCCCCGCCACACCCCTGGGCACTCGCACCAGCGAGGGACCGAGAGGTGGGCGATGGCAGCAGGCGCAGATCCCCGTGGAGGGGTCCACGGACGCACCACAGGCGCGCAGCCCCCATTTCCCGAGAGGGTCCAGCCCACACCGTCCCCATCCACATCGGCTCCCGGCTGTGGGTGCGCCGGAGAGGGCAGGGCGGCCCCGGCGCAGGGTGTGAGGGAGGGGCTGGGCGGCCAAGGCCAGCGACCCCCGACCGCTCCTCGCTCCCGGTGGCCGCTCCCACCCTCCGCTCTCGCCCCCCGCTGTCCCCGCAGCCTCGGAGCCACCCTGGGGGTGCCACGGCTGCCGGGCAAAGGCGGTGGGGGGCGGCAGGCACCTGTCGGGCCCCCCCGCCTCCGCCGCGCCGCCGGTGCCGCTCCCGCACCCAGACATGCGGGGGGCGCGACTGGCGGGGGGAGCGGGACCCCTGCCCTGCCCTGCCCCGGCGCACCGGGAGATGGATGCCGGGGGGAGCAATGCTCTCCCCGCTGCCCCCGGTGGCTCAGCGCTGGCGGCGGGGGGGCTCTTCCCCCGGTGCTCACGACCGGGAGCCGCCGAGCCCCGCCCGGCAGCGCGGCCGCGGGGACACGAACCGGCCGGGCGGCTGCACCCCCCGCCGCCGCAGCCATCCCCGACCCCACGGGCACGGCGAGGGGCACCGGGGGCACCGGCAGCCGGGGAGAGGCGGCCCCGCCCGCACGAGGGCGCCGCGAGGAGAGCGGCACCGGGGGTCCCGCAGTCCCGGTGCCGCCCGCCGCCCCCAGCGCATCCTTCAGCGCGATCCCCGCCGCGTCCTTCCCGGCGGCGCCCCCCACCCCGCGCGGCCCCGGGGACACCCCCCACCCTCTCCACCTCCCCACCCCGCCTCCCGGTGCGGGTCCCGCCGCCCCCGCCCGCACTCACTGCGGGTTGGAGCTGTTCCAGTGCACGGCGTGCCGGTTGCCCAGGGCCCCCGGCGGCCCCCGGCCCGGTAGCAGCAGCAGCAGCGGGAGCAGGGGCAGGAGCCCAGCCGCCATCCTGCCGCCGCCCGAGCCCGCCGCGATGCCGGGGAATGGAGGGAGGCAGAACCGAGCCCGAGCCGCCCGCGCCCCGCGGCCCCGGCGCCCAGCTCCGCCCCGCGCGCGCCCGCCGCCGCCGCGCCCCCGCGCGCGCTCCCGCCGCCACCCCGGGCCCGCCCCGGCACCGGCTCGGCACCGGCACCAGGCTCGGGGCTGCGGCTCCCCGCGGGTGCAAACACCGGGGCCAGGTCCCGGCAGGACCAGGTGGCACCGGGGTCGCTCCAGGACCCCCATGAGCGGGGGGCGTTACCTGTGTGGGGTCCTGCTGCCATCGGGGTCTCACTGGGACCCCCGTGGGTGCTCCCACACCTCGGTGCACCCCTGCCTGTCCCTGTGGGAGCCGGTGCCACTGGGATCTCCCTGGCACACCCACAGCTGGGGGCAGCAGGGCCAGGAGCCCGCGGGATTGGGGTCGCTGTGGGTGCGAGCTCCGGGCTGTGGGGCAGCTGCCCCTGTGGGTCTCTGGGGGCTGTGGGTGCGGGCTCAGCGCCCCAGAGGGTCCTCCCGGTGCTGCTGCCAGTGCCATGGGGGTCACATGTGCTCACAGAGGGGTTTGGGCACCCTGGAGGCACAGGAGTGGGTGGGAGGGAGTGTGCCAATGTGCCAGGACAGCTTGGCTACCGAGGAACACGGATACAGTGCCAGGCTCTGCCGCCTGCCCTGACCTCCCTCGGCAGCCAGCGCTTGGCCAAGTGCCCACACACATGGGCAGGCCCTCGTTCTTCCCACACCCCAAGGGTTTGTGGGGTGGAGGTTCCTGGGGGGAGCCCAGGGGAATGTGGGGGCTCCCCGGGTGTGGGGATTGAGCCGAGTGCCAGCTCCCACTGCCCGTCCTCGGTGGGATCCCTTAGCAACTGCCGAGCAGCGCCGCCCGGCCGAGCCCAGTGCCAGGTGATCGGCGCCCTGGCACACGTGGGCACGCTCGGGCACGCTCGCACTGGCACGGGCACGCGGAGCTCAGCGGGAACGTGCAGCTCAGTGGGCACACTTAGCTCAGCGGGCACACAGCTCAGCGGGCACACGGAGCTCAGCAGGCACACTCAGCTCAGAGGGCACACTCAGCTCACAGGGCACATGCAGCTCAATGGGCACACTCAGTGGGCACACTCAGCTCAGCGGGCATACTCAGCTCACAGGGCACATGCAGCTCAATGGGCACGCACAACTCAGCAGGCACATGCAGCTCACTGGGCACACTCAGCTCACTGGGCACACAGAGCTCAGTGGGCACACAGAGCTCACTGGGCACATGCAGCTCAGCGGGCACACTCAGCTCAGTGGGCACACTCAGCGGGCACACTCAGTGGGCACACACAGCTCAGCGGGCACACTCAGCTCAGCAGGCACGTGCAGCTCACTGGGCACACAGAGCTCAGTGGGCACACGCAGCTCAAAGGGCACACACAGCTCAGCGGGCACACTCAGCTCAGTGGGCACACTCAGCGGGCACACACAGCTCAGCAGGCACGCTCAGTGGGCACACTCAGCTCCCTGGGCACACGCAGCTCACAGGGCACACTGAGCTCAGCGGGCACACTCAGTGGGCACACTGAGCTCAGCGGGCACGCTCAGTGAGCACACACGGCTCACTGGGCACACACAGTGCCCCCCCAGCTCCCACATGCGCCCACCACCCCCAGCCCAGCAGCCTGTGCCCCGGCAGCGCTGGCATTGTGCATCACCTGCAGCTTTGGCAGCCTTGAGGAGCTCGTGAATGAAACCAGGAGGTTCCCAAACCGTGGCTGGGCTTGCTGAGCCGGCCTGAGCTGCTCCTGCCAGCAGCTATCTCACTGTGTGGTGAGCGTGGCCAGCGTGGTGCTGTGCCAAATGTCATGTTCCCATGTCCCCAGCGGGCCTGGTGGCTCTCAGGTGCCCTGTGCTGAGTCTTGGGGGCTCTCCTGGCTCCCCAGAGTTTTTGGAGGAGCTCAGTGTGAGAGGAGAACCACCCCATTTCTCCTCAGGGTCTTTTTGGCAATGTGGATGCTGCCCCAGGCCATGAGGGGGACAAGGAGGATGATGATGATGGGCAGGGCCCCTGGTCCCACTCATGCCCCATCCATACTGGTGGCACTGGGAGCCCAAACCCCTGCCAGAGCCCCGCCAGGAAGGGGGAAGGGGGAAACGGAAAAGGCCCGGAGGACCAAAAAAGCCTCTATTAATTATTCATCCGAAGAAGTGAAGTGAAGAAAACACAACACGTGGAAAAGGGCTCTGGCTGCCTGGGGGTGGGAGCGGGGGAGAGTTGGGGAGGGGAGGGCACAGGGGCCGGGCTGAGGTGGCAGCGGCAGCGGTGGCATCTCCCAGGGTGCCGCACACCTCTGGGAGGACCCAGAGCACCGCGCTGCCACCATGGAAACGCCTGGGCTCGGCAAACCCATGGCAACACCCACCTCCACATGGAAACCCCCCCGCTCATGGCAACGCACGCTCTGCCGCCAGCACCCGCACCACGGGGGTCCCCCCGCCACGGAGGGACACGGAGGGACACGGAGGGACACGGAGGGACACGGAGGGACACACCCGGGGGGCACAACACAGCCCTGAGCATCGCGGGGTGTGCTCAGGTGTCGGCACCCAGCAGGAATTACACGCAGAGGGGGCTTGGCCGGGTTTTGGCACAACGGGACGCCTGGGGACACACCCTGGTGGCTTCGCTCTCGGGGGGGATGTGAGGCCTTGAGCTGTCCAGAGCAAGGGCATGGAGCATCCCTGGTTCTCCCTCTGTCTCCTCCACGCTGTGCCCATCATTTTTCGGCGTCAAAGCGGTGGGGGAAGCCTCGCACCTGCCGTCCATGAGCCCCGAGGGGCTGGAGCGTGTCCCCGGCGGGGCAGGGGACCTGCCTTGGCCCGCCTGGGTTGATGTTTAACCGCGGCTTCCTGTGACAGAATGTCGCAACCGCAGAGCAGAGCCGGCATTCAATAAATCATCGCGCAGGGCTGGGGGGAGTGGGGAGGGGGCAGAGCCCAGCCGAGCGAGAGGGGGAGCCGATAAATAATTCATTAAATAAATAAACATGGTGAGAGCGCGGGGAGGAGGCAGGAGTGTAACCAAGAAAGGGCTCGGCGAACGCGGGCATGAAATATTCACCAGCCACACCTAGCAGGGCCCAACGCGCTGAGCTCAGGGCTCCCGGCCCGCCCGAGGGAGCCAGGTGCCGGCACGTGTCCAGCCAGACACGGCGAGAACAAGGCAAAGGCAAGCAGGGAGCACGGCCTGGCTCGGGGAGCAGGCAGCTGGCACGGCTGGCATGGCCATGTCCTGGCTCCTGGCGGCGTTTGGGGCAGCTCCTCACAGCCCCATGCTGGTGTTTGGGCACGGTCTGTCCTGCCAGGCTGGCACGCCTGGGGCACGCTCAGCACACAGCGTGTGCCCAGCAGCCCTGCTCGTCCCTGCCCCTTCCCTTTTCTATCCCGTGTCAGTCGTTAAATTTGAATGAAGCCTCACGGATGGCTGCGCCGCGCCCGCGCCTTGATGAGCGCGCAGCGGGCATCGCCTCGGGGAGGGCACAGGGGCTGAGCATTCCTGTTTCCCAGGGACAGGGGGGAAACCGAGCTCTGGAGGAGCCCTTGGGGACATCCTGGGGCTGCGCCTGGCAGCGTGGATGGAGGGAGGTGAAGATGGGTGGCCAAATCCCTGGTGAGGAGAGAGCCCAAGGTCTAACCAGAGGGACCAGAGCGAGCCCTACTGCGCAGAGTGACACGGGAGAAGTTCATTAATTAGCAGCCTGGGTTAATTTATGCGGAGCTGGATTCTGTGGCCTTGCAGAGGAGGGTTAGCTGCCACCAGTGAGGGAGCAGCGGTGCCAGGCGGCGGTGCCAGGCCCGTCAGAGGAAATCAGCTTCCTGCTGGAGCCGCTGCATGAAGCCGTGCGTGGCTCCAGCCCCGCTGCTCCCGCTGCCCGGCAGGAGGAAGCTGCAGGGTTCCTGCCCTGGGCGCCAGGCGCCTGCTGGCCGGAACCCTGGCTCCAGCAGCTGTGCCAAATCTCACCCGCCCTGCGTGTGTGGGCACCCAGAGATGGCGGCTGGGAGGTGAGAGCCACCAGCTCCTCGTGGCTCCCACGGTTGGCAGCCACGGTGCCAGGGTGAGCCCAGGTGAAAGGGGTCACCACTTGGTGCAGCACAGCTGTGCACACTGTCGGCTTAGCTCACCCTGGGTGCTGGAGTGGTGTGCCAGGCAGGCCTGTCTGTCCCCTGTGCCACATCCTTGTCCCAGTGCCGTTGGTCCCCTGTGCCACATCCTCGTCCCAGCAGCCCACGCCAGCAGTGGAGGTTACCTGGCAGGAAGCGCCTGAGTCAGCAGCCGGCACCGGGTGACTCAGCCGGCTCCTCTCCTCTCCAAACCTCCCTCCTGGCCTCAAGATCACTCCAATATCATCCACCAGCCTCACACTCACACTCACTGAGCCCCGGCCTCACTGCTGTCTCCTGCTGCTGTGACATGGCCACGGTGTGGATGTGCTGCAGGGTGTGAGGGCTGTGCCAGGTGGGAGGCTTGGGTAGGGCAGGGCTGGCCCATGGCCCCACTGCTGCCACAGCTCTCTAGGGAAGGGACAAGGACACCAGAGATGGGTTTGTGGCTGCCAGCTGCAGCACCTGGCTCCCCACTGGCTCTGGAACATGCTCTGCTCATCCCAGCCATGTGCCACCCTGGCGTCCCCTGTGAGGTGTCTGGTGGTGTGTAAGTGACGCTAATCTGATGAAGGAGTGACAAGCAGCATCGATATCCTGCTCCCACTGCACACAGATCACGCCACAATCGGCATCTGGGAGCACTGGCAGAGGTGGCAGCGAACTGGGAGGTGCCAGGGACAGACCCACAATGTGCTGTGCTCTAGGTTGTCCCCATCCCAGGTGATGCTGCCAGGGGACCTGCAGTCCCTCAGGCCCAATTGAGGGCTGGGGATGGGCACAGGAACCCTCCTAGGAATGCCCAGCTGGCACTGAGCTTGGCAGCGTGGGGCTGCTCTGGCTGTGCCACCAGCAGTGCCCACCTGCCCACCTGCTTCCCATCCCATTCCAGGCCGTGTGTGAC